CCCCAAAACCCCAAAACCCCAAAACCCCAAAACCCCAAAACCCCACAGAAATCACCTCTCTTTGAAATTCCAATATCTTACCACCCCATTCTCTCCCCCTCTATCCCCTCTTCTCACCCCCTCTCTCCTTCTCAGCCTATAAAATCCCTACTCCAACCTACCTGCAAAAGTTCTGAAACACCCAATTTCTTAAGCTCAGCTTTCACCTGGAGTCTTCCTATAGGATGAGTGGAGGAGTTACGATGGAGACTGGGTAAGGACCTGTAGTGGGACTCCAAGTGGGACTGGAGGGGGAGGAAGGGGTCTTCAGGTGGGGAAGGGGGCAGCAGGGGGAGGAAGGTCTTAGGTACCTATGGGGTGAGAGGGAGGGTACATTTAGGAACGGGGCATTTGAGGGTTAGAGGAAAGTGGTGTTGGATCAGGTGCTGTGTGAAGGTGTAGGTATTGGAGAAGGAGTCTGTGCAGATTTGACAGGAGTGACTGGGGAGTTCGGGGAAGGAGTGAAGATTGTCTGGTTCTGGGCTATGGCAAGGTGTTTGTTTATTTTGAACTAATAATTTTGTGTAAAGATAAAGTTGAACACAATAGTCATTTCCTATTTCCATTGCAAACAGCAACTTCTTCTATTTTTTTGTGTTACATTTAAAATAAATAGCCTATGCATACTACAATAAATCTTTAATCTAAAATAAGTCTGAAAAAGAGCAGATAAATTACAAATATGCTTGAAGTGAGAAAGTAAATTCTGAGAAATTTTCATGCATTTACGGAGCCCCTCCGACGAATTCTATATTAACAGAAGTGACTCAAATTTAACTAAAACTCATTCTATCTAGTAATCAGACAGAAAAGGCTGATTTCATTTTATAAACATAAATCTTAAAATACATATGCTCATTGTAATTTTCAGATGTCGCTGTATCCTTCTGGTTATACTAAAATGAGAGACCCAGTTTAATAAATCGAAGTCTTGTTGGTACGAATTAAAAAGATATATTACCCTTCTTTTGACATCTTTTGGGAGACACCAACTTTGTGCTCCAAATTAGGATCCTTCTTGGTTTGGGAATTGATCTCAATAACATCAGACTTATCATTGCTTTCAATCTGTTTTAACCTATTAAAAATTAGAACTCTAACTTATGGGTTGATAAAAATTGAAGAGTCAAGTTCTTTTAGAAGTGCTTACTTATCTTCTTTTTCACTCAGGATTTCAGACTCTTGAGGCTTGGTTCATCTAGAGAACTAGTTAGAAATCTTCTTGTGTAAAAACCAAATAATTTGGCTAACTAAGTAATAAGATACACTAACTCTTCAATACTTCTGTCTTGTGCCACTGATAACTGGTCTTTTCATGCAGAAGGCTTCTTCTGAATTTTCTATAAAAATTAGAACAGTTTTCAGTAGAAATTATATTACAGCTTCTTCTTCCTGTTCAACTTCTGAGCTTCCAGAATTTTTAGAGGGGGAGAGCTTGTTCTTCTTAGTTTGGACTAAATGAAGGAACTCGACTGAATTTTGAGATTCTGATGATTTCAAGATTGTATGTTCTTTCTCAATTTCAGATTCTAAAAGTAATTTAATCTTATAAATACCTTTAGATTCAGGTTTAGAAGACAGCAGGTCCAAGGGGAATTTATAATTCAATTTTGAAGCATTGGCTAGTCTTGAAATAATAGGACCAGTTGCTATTTTTCTTTTGCTCTCTTCATTTAGATATTTACCCATTAAATTCATAGAAGACTTGGTGAATTCTAAATTATTAGATTTTCTGAATCAATCATCTTCCTTACCTTCAATAAAATCTTCGATGAGATTGATAGTGGATTCAAGTGTCTTTTCACTCTGCTATAGTATAGTCTTCATGGGCTTACTCTGTTCTTGACTACACTCTTAAAGGCATTATTCAGAGCATTCTTGATTCCTTTTTCACTTAGGTTACCTAAAAGTCTAGCCCAGAACTCTTACATCAGTTGATAACTTTCTTGGCTGTCCTCAGCACACGCTTGCTCATGAGTTTTGTTCTAGGCATTACTGTTTGGGTAAAATTCTTAGTAAAATTTATAATTCTCAAGCACTTTGGTTCCTCATGGGGTTTTGGGGTTTTGGGGTTTTGGGG